TGAGACACCAGAGTGAGCAATGCTATAAGGCGTTTCTTCTCAAGGAAGTCAAGAAAGCTTCCAAGCACTATGGAAAAAATTCTGAATGCACCATACAAAATGAGTCAATTCACAGTCAGCGAATTCTCACCTGAATCGGTATATCACAGCGGTCCTCACCGGATCTGTTCTTCACTCGTAATGCGTAATTACCTTTATTGTCTGCGTGCACGCGACTGATTATCAGAACCGATTGGTTTTCTGAGGTTTCAATCTACAACCAAATTAAGAAATTGCAAGAAACTTTAGACAGCATTAAACGTATCGTTTGATCATTCAGTTCATTCGTTGATAACAACACGCTGAACTTAAACACAAAACGTCAGAATTCGGATTCATAGGATCGAACTTCAATCAGATTGGAATTTCAAGCATAAGATATGTGCAACCGTAAATTCCTAATGAAAAATTACTAAACAGATGTGCATGTGCGATAATTTCGTGAATTCAGTATATCTGAATATGGCTTTATGAGCCGAAACTAAGCGTAAACTGTTTCATTTTTACCTCATAATCTGTAAATAAGAAAAAGTAACAATAATGACAAATGGCAGTCGCAAAAACTGCTTCTATATTATAAATCCATTCATAGTGATTATTTATGTCAAGCGAACCGATGAGGAATAGCAAACTACATTGGCAATTACGANAAGCTTACCTTATAATGCGGTGATTTTCCACTAATCACAACGCCACGATTGTCAACCCATTGTGCAGTTGGTGCTGGTCGACCTGTAAACAGAAAAATTAATCCATCTAATTCATAGGATATCACAACATCGTCTTGCACATATTATGAAGTTCATCTAAGAAAAGCATTCCAGTTCATGACGTCTATCATGTAGGATAATACTCTCGACCTACATTGATACGCTATATCTCTAGCCGTGAACAATTTCTGTTTCACAATGCACTCATTGTTAAACCACGCCACTGTTATTGGTTGACGGCTCTGTGGAGCATTTCAAAACAAAAAAAAAACTGCTGACAGGCCATTGAGGTAGGAAACGCAGTCTAGGTGCGGGGTTTCCTACTGTATTTTCCTTGAGAGGCACTGCCGAATTAAAGTGCACACGATAAAATAACCGTTGAGATCAAATCACTATGGATGAATGATTGAAGCAGAATTAAAATTTTGCTCGCGTTACTTATTCGAATTTTTAAGCAAATTGATTGAAAATGTTAAGAGCGCTATTAATTGACCAAATCGTTTTGTCTAAAAGGTCTTAGAAAACTGAGGATGTTTTAGGTGAGTAACATCGAATAATTTGACTACATAATTGGATATTTAGAACATCTTTTAATGTTCACGAGTCAACCATTCGTAAACGAGAGCGAACAAATTCAAGTCGAAAGTTAAGAAAAAATCAGAAGTCCTCAAGAAATGACTAAGAACGATTTGAGAGTTTATGCAGCCTAAAGGTGTGCCCATGCAGTGATGCAATTGTCATTGAATTCGGGCTCTGCTCACATATTTGACTGAAGATCGATAGATTACGATAGATTTACAATCAATGACATCCACTTGCTTGTTGCTTGTTATCTGCTGTCTTCAATGATTGAACGAATCTCCAAGCATGAATGCACACACATATCTCTCTATTCGATATAACCGAAAGCAGGACAATGACAAATTCTCCGTATAATTCAACTCTTCTTGACATAGACACAACACCTACTATTTGAAGTTGCCTATTGTTGGTGTGCACAAGAAAACGATTGCTTACATTCATTAATCCTATGTTGGCTAGTACTATTCGGCTAAGTTCTTCTCGAATTCCTCGGTTCGAAGAGCAATTTGAGTGCACAAACAATGCCCATGTAAGTTTTTTTTTTCTTGAGAATAATCATTAGTCAAAAGTATTGCGACAGCAATTCGCAATAATTTCGCTATACAGCCATGCAGTAATTCAGCATTCAAAACAGTGCTGATCCTGAAGAATGTTTCACGTTCATTACACTTCTTATCTCCACGCATTCTTTCCACTCTGATTCCACTGATTTTGGCTGAACATTGACAAAAGCAATGCTGGTTCTGAACACTGTAAGACTGTCTAACGTTTGCAAACGGTGACTATTTGGCGAAAATCCGGCTATTGAACGAACTGAAGTGTATTCGATAACTCAATCAATATATTCTACCTTGAAACATATAATTATCGCCTGAGCGATTTCACACTGCGTTTGTGATCAAGAGCGGTCACAGTACATGAACAATTTTGTGATCATTAAATTTTCTCGAACATTGAAGCTGTTCTTATGGAAAAAAAACTGTTCCATCCAATCATCTGATTGTGAGTATCTTGCAGCGTGCATTTACACTGAATGTAAGAACTATTCTCATGCAAAAATCGGTCAATTTAATCTTCACTACATCCTTTTGATTGCAATTAACACATTTGAATAATATCAGTCGCTGCTGCTCATTCGTTTTCGATCTCGCATTCACAAGCCCACATTAATCTTCATCACATTCAATACCTAGGTTCCAATACTGTCGATTTTTTGTCGTTGTTTCAGCAGTTAGTTTGAAGAATAACTGCACTTTTTGCGTATATATTTGAGCGGTATTATAAAGCTTCCATAACATTGTTCTGGTATGATTCATTTTGTGAATATGCCCTGCTATATTAATAGCGCGCCATAAATTTTCGATAAAATATCGCAGTAAAAAAACACACAAGCTCATTACTCGCTCATTGATGCTCTCGAAAGTCACTGATCAAGCACTTAGAAAATGTCGTTTCTTAGTGCCGTTTTCGAACTGCTATCATCACTTATCGTCGGCCACCATCAATTCATGGGATTCGAACGATAAGCCAATTCCTATCCATTATCCTTATATTATGGTGACAATTTGGAATTTTAATCTACGAATTGGATAATTCGGAGGGATAATATGTGCAATGATTTCATTCACGATCATTGATATTCATGATATTGAGCGCTAATTTTTCACAGGATTTGATAACCTTTTATTGCTTAATTCTTTTTTTACCTACCCAAATGCAAGCCGTTCAGGATTCGTGAACATATTATTTCACGAATCTTACCTGGTATAAGATGCGAATTTTATTAGTTTTATACGGGAAATAGTTGTTCGTTGAGGAGGAGCATAAAATTTTCAAAGGCTCGCACTAATGTTGCTTAGGAGAGCGTATGATTGCCACGATCATACCGGAACCATTTTCAAATGATTATCAAAAATTCTACACCGCCTAAGCAAACTGAATAAGCATTATCGGCCGTTTATTAACTCTCTAGCGCTGAAGCAATGGCGATGCTTACAAGAACAGCTTCTACCAGGTTAGTTAGCATTATCCATAGTGTATCCCGAAACCAATTGCTACCCAATCAAACCAATGAAATGTGTAAAAGTGCGCCTGTAATGCCGATAAGCCCTAGTCTCTCTGATTCAATTAAGGCGCAATCAGCAAAACTACTGTTTCGATCGGCTTTTGTACTGCTGGTGTTCAGTTTTTTGAATTTTTATTTCACAAGTAGCAAAATTATCGTCCTTCTAACTCATTGAAATTCTTCAGAACATTCATCAAGCTGCGAAAATTGTGATTTTTCAACGCTTCAAAAATAACTCAATCAATCCCATACGACACCAATCTTGAATTGTCTTCAAAATGTTGCAATCCTATAAATTCTATAATTCATCATTTCTGAAGCTTCTCATTTTTTGTCTCGCTGAGCTAATTGCGCTACATTAAACCATCGTTCCAATTCCGTAGCTTGCAAATGTTTGATAAAATTTTTGTGCCATAAGAAATGCTTGCCTTTTGATTCAATGAATCTTGAGAATGATCGATGAGTTCAAAAAGTTTGTTAGAGTGTTTTGATGAATTTTGGAGTCATTTGCAAGTGCCCAATGCAAGTGATGGTTTCAGTGATGATAGCGGTAAAATAACTCAATAGCTTAATAGCAACGTCATGAATTCCTTCTCCTAGCGCATTGCTTGTGCACGGCAGTTACACCTTGCATAATGCTTGTTTCTTTACGAAACATTGCGTGCATGACTGAAGCGTCAATCTTCATTATGACACTTATATTGAATGCAGAATTTCAAGTCGTTTAGCCGTTGTAATCATTCATGCTCAAATGTATCTGAATCACTTCTATCCATATCAGGGGNGGGGCATATTGGAGGAGAATTCTAGCTTTCGTGTCTTTATGTGGCTATCGACTCAACGATTACACGTTATCTACGATTTCACTTAAGATTTCGTTTCTCTCTGACAATGAGCACTTTTAGTGCCAAAAATTAAGATTTTGTTGGGCAGATTTAGTTTCATGAAATATTCAAAAAAGTGGGAACCAATCTATTTAGCCTTTCTTCCGCGAGCGATTGCAATGAAAGTGAGATTACTCCTTTCGATTCATTCATTTGGTTTGAGCGTGAAACTTGAGGAAACAATTAAAGATTTCTGAAGTGGTAAACACGATATGATTTTGCATATTTTGCAAGCACAATCATTTATCACTGTACAGAATAGAGTAGAAAGGCTCGTGCGACTATGCTGTCGTGATTTTGAATGTGATGTTTCTGGACAATGAAGAAAGTGAAATATGATGTTCGGTGGCTAAAGCGCGTGAACAATGAGAGTGCGAATGAATTCTTTAAAAAAAGTGACGGAGCCATATTGGTGGATTCAAACTTGTGACACAATGAATAAGTGAAACAGAATTGATTGAGCGTGAAATTGGATGCAGATCGAGAGCTGTCAGAGCCTTTGATTACCTAGCGAATGAATGAATTATTCGTTTCCCTCAGTAACACACTTCGCCGTTGTCTGCGCAGCGCCGTGCGTCTATGAAAGTATCCAACAGCATCAACTCAACAAGATGAGAGCGCATATACCCGGGTAATGTTTTTTTTCCCGAATTCTCATGATTTTTTTCTCGTCGATTTCCTAAGTAGGCGAGCTACTATAACAGTTGAGAGTTGAGAGCAATGATAGCAGTGGAGCTCATGAAATCGAGGCTCAGCATCCAGATTCACACCAAGACTAGCACTGGAACTCATGATTACTTCAATTCTTGTGGAAACAGTGTTAGTCACAAGGAACATCAATATGAAGTAGTCTTTCATTGTTGGTATCCCTCTTCATACTCAAAGGTGATTGTTCAGCTAAATCGGATCGAAATGATCCGAGAAATCAATGAGACGATTTCATGAAAAGGGTAACCATCAAAATTCAACTTTGACGAATCGCACCTGGGTTTTGCAGCACAGCAGTGTGCAGTCACCATGAGTTTTTTTTNTTTTTTTTGTAAAGAATGAGCATCGAACGAACTCCTTTAGAACAAAAGAGTTATGAAGGCTTTCACGGGCTCTTCTAATACTTTCAGCAAATAAAAAGCTGGTCGTTGCACCTTATCGTCCGCATGTTCTTGCAAGAATTCGCTAACTTTCACAAAGCTGTCACTAGTTTCTGAACCTTGTCGTATCTTTGGTTTCTACTCGCACCATAATCTATTGCTTTCAACTGAAGTCAATTGTAACAAGCACTCTGTGAAGACAAATATTTCCACTGAATGTTTCGGTTAATGAACAGCACATACGCTACATCAGAATGTATCGCAAAAGAGCGCTGTGTATTCAAAAGATGAATAAATTCATTCTTTATGAATCATTTCAGCAATAAATACTAAATAATACTTGTCAAAAAATGTTTGCAAGAAATAATAAGCAAACCATAACGAAGAGAGGATGTACATAACCGTTTTTCTGCATTTCAATAACCATCTATAAATGCATCAGCAACTACTCATCTATGCGACATTCGTCAACTACCAATTTCCTTTGTTCCTTATTCGCTATCGGTTTTTTCCTCATGTCTGCTAAAGCTTTTCAACACAACTCGCTATTTTTTGTTCTTGTCACCGAAAATGGCGAAATTTTACGAAAGTTCACAATTAAAAAAAAGTATTACATACCGTCACATTTAATCATTAATTCCTTATGGTCATATTTAGAAGAATTGGAAAAATTGACTTGTAAGCATGTTCAGATGTCCAACATTATAATTGTGAAATAGCTTCTCACATGAAACTTGTTTTTTTNTTTTTTTCATTCTCTTATTCAATTTCGAAGATTTACCACGGGTGGACGAACAATAAAGTCAAAAACTAGTCACTTGAACGCACAAGCGATTGAGAGAATACTTCTCTCCTTACCGGGAACCGAGAATATATGAAGTGTATTTGGAAGGACTCGATAAGAAGTGAAATAAAGAGACAATGGCGATGTTGCGTGCTTAATGGAAGCGTTTTCACTGGAGCACTGGCTAAATTCCCACAATGGAGGAACTCAGGTTAAGAGCTACCTAAGAGTTGCCATCTCGTTGTCTTTCATCGCTCAATGAATTGCTTCGTCTTTCAAGGCAATAATTTTTCTTTTTCAACAGTGAAACTAAACCGGAGTTCCGACGATTCGTTCTATTTTATCATATTGCTTGTAGATCGAACAAATAATTGAAATTTGTCGTTCAGTGAAAAACCTTCCCCCAATAGATACCGGAGACGATGAACAATAGAGGCTGAGAGTGCTATTGACAAGAAAAAATGAAAACATCAAAAATCAAGAAAGCAAATCCTTTCGCTAAACTATCGTCAACACTCAATTTCTTAAGCCGTTCACTTACATGGACGGCAAAGCGCTGAATCGAGGAGTTCATCCCAGACCATACGAAAACATTAAGAAATGCCTCTCAATTCGATCAAGTGATCAGCATTTTTCAAAACAGTCTAGCAATTTCGGAATCCTAGATCATGCGACNGTGTGCGCTGAGCATAGCGTAAAACGCTTTATAAAAGGATTGATAGGCGAAAATCTCATTGGCACAACAGTTACCGTGATAATATGATGTTGTCATATTTTCAATTTGTGAACGATGCCGAGAGTACACACAATTCAGAATTCATTGCTTCCTGACAGTACCTCTCAGCAAAATTTTATGAGATCCACC